ATTACATTTTCATATTAAATAGTTGTATTTCCAACGTACATTCTGCCAAAAATTCGTACAGAGACACTCGTTCCAATTGTACAGTCAAAAAGTCACTGGCTTCCTTTAAACTGTCCAAAATGTTGGCCGCTCTTTCATAATGATACTTGCAGAGTTGGAGAGTAGTTTTCGGTAGTAAGGCTGCATCAGTGCAATTGTTGCGTAACTGACTATAATGAAATGACGCTATTCTGCAATAAAGAGGAAAAATAGACATAAAATGTAATCTTAATATAGGTAAATGTAATATATAAAATAGATTATGGAATATTATGATAATTTTTTATAGTCCTAATTTGTGAAATTCTATTTCGATTCTAGGAACAACCAGTTTTACATGACGTAGCTACTTATATTTTTGCAGACGATCAGGTGACGCACGCAGAGACGGAATCTTTTTTATGAAAGAGACAAGGTTTAATTCCTTCGAACTTATTAATTCAAAACATTTTTGATGTCATCCTATCAATGTTCCTAACTCGTAATGGCATTATATTTAGTACAGTCCTCCCTCCAAGATGATTCCTTTTTTTATAGCATTGATATATTGACACCTATTATAATGGAGCTAACATCAGTGGTCCTACCAATCTCTTCATAGAAGTGATATCTAAGTTTATCAACCTTGATACTGGTTGACTTTACTTTAAATGCTACCCATCCCCAATCCATTCACTCCTAAATAGTCCCTTTCTCACACCAAAGATTAAAATACATAAAACGGTAGTACGTTAATTACTCTTAATTACATATTGTTACAGAGTATTGATACTAAAGTTCAAGACTGCAAGAAGTTAAAAAAAAACTTATGAAAATTTATAGTCCACTGAAGATCTAAGTAGTCAATTTTATAATTTACGATAGTTTTAAACTGAAGCAGCTAACCCTGCAGTAAACGATTCGATGGCTTGACCATGTTATCAAAAGGCGCATGACAGTTCAATCAAATAGATCTATAAAATGATTCCAAAGAAAGAGATAGATTAAGAAGTCAATAACTAGACGCAGAAAAGTGGATCTAAAAATCATAAACAACTAAAGTCACTATATCAAATCTATCAAGCATTTTTGTTATAGAAACGCTATGAAGCATAGTCTGACCTACGAGTTGTTATTGTTGTTATTATAGCCCGCGGAGATCTGTTTGTGTAGTCTCTTTTTAGGGTGGTGAATAGCACTTGGTCAACGAACTCGACGATACTTAGACCCGGGTGTTCTTAAAATCTGCAACGGGTTATTGTTGTTATTGTTTCTGTTAACAACCGAGATCTACGTAGCAGCTAACATGAAAGAAATACAATGGACTATAATATGTATCGGTTTGATAGTAGGAAATTGATTCAAAATTTTATTGTTGTTGCTGTAGCTATGATGCAAGAGTGGTGAACAGCTCATAGTTTCAATATGTAAGACTTAACACACATTTTTGAAATATTATTGGAAATAATTCTATTGGGACTTATTCTATTTACCAGTATTCACTATCTAATCATTAAAAATTTTAGATGTTTTTGGACCCACAATAGTACATATTCCCTCATAAGCAAAGTTTAAAAATAAAATAAATTTACCTTTTATGTATTAACCCAGAACGGTAGGTGTAAAGTATTTGACGAGAGCCAGCATGCTCTACATCACAAAGCTTAAGTGACTTCTGCAACAACTCCAATACTTCCTTTTCCAAATCTAATTGTGTAGTCTAAAATTAAATCAATTATTTTTTTAAGTATAAGAACTGTTTATTATCAATATAAGAAATTTATACTGGGTCTGTAGTGCTAAAGTCCTGTAGTTGTTTCGCTAGAGTGAAAGTAGCTGTTGATAACTCCCAATGCACTAAGTCCCATAGCTCAGCATTTAACTTTCGTGTTCCCAAAATGTCTTTCGCTTTCTCATAGTAGGAAAATGCCTCGTTATAAAATGCTTTTTGTATTTTAACAATCTCACTGCTACAAGAGAGAAAAAAACAATATATACACATTATTACACACAGGCATTATTATAATACTTCTCGTCAACTTGGTATAGGTGAGCACGAAAGCGCATAAATCTGCCCATATTACAGTATAAAAATGCCAGATTTACGTTATCACCAACCTGAATGAAAGTGAGTATGCCTTGCAATAAGCAATCATAAGATTTCATGGAAAGATTTATATACACAGGATTTTCTTTATTGATGTCTTTTTCGTCAAGAATTTCTGTCACATTTTCCAAATTATTTTCAATTTTGTCCTCAACTATTTTTTTGTCCCCATTAAGTTCATTTTGTGTAAATTTTGAAAACTCTTCTACAAAAATAAAGTACCAGTTCGCTGTAAACTATTATTACTGAAGAATGAACATTTGTGTACCTTGTGCCCAAAACATGTACTTCAAGCCCAACTCATTACGTACGTTTCCCAAACGGCGCAACAATTCCTTCTTTGAGATTTCCCCATCGGTCCCATTGTCGATTATATATGATAAGGCGTTTTCATAGCAACGACAGCTAGAAACCATTAAGTGTTCAATATTCTTTTGCGGAATTATTAGATCGTCTGGTTCATCTGTTTACAGGACAATATAAGATATCTGTTATTTAATATAATAAACGTATTGCTTTAGTAAATATCTCACCATCACTTAACTCCTTATCTAGTTCATTAATTATGTTTTCATCACTTTCTTTAAAAAACTGTTCCAAATTATCATCGATGGTGTCCCAACTTTTACTCATTTGAAAGAAGCAATCCCCTGCACGTCCCAACAAGCAACTTTTTTGAGAAACAATTTTGGACACATATTTTATAAGCACCTGTTGACAGCGGCATGCCACATAAATCGCTTTTAGACAGGCACCATATTTGTGCATGACATAGTAATGCTCAGCCAACGTAGCGTAGGTAAGACAAGCTTTCTCTAACAGTAACAATTTCAAATGCACGTTCCAGGAACCAAATAATTGCGAATTGAAATTTATTGCTATTTCTTGAGGCTGTAACTGGATTTCACCTTTAATCTGTTCAGTTGCTTCTTTAGCTTTATTCCGTTTCGTTTTACTGCCCTTTTTGTTTTTACCTTCTCTCTCACATTTACTTTGCTCTTCCACATGAGCAGCATCAATCTTGTTTTCCACATTGTCATTTTTGGAGGAGCTAGTTAACGATTCATAAGGCAATGGTATCGGTTTAAAAGGTTTTGCAATGTTGGGATTCTGCTCTTCATGTAAGATCCGTTGTCTCTCCTCTTCCTTAGCAGTAGCTTCGCTTTCCTTGATAAATTTTTCTTGATTTGAGTTAAAAAATTGTAAACAAGATAGTCCAGCACTGATATGCGACAATGATTTGAGACAACGCTCCTCAGTGCTGCCTTGCAAAGGAGACGGCTTTTTTTGCACCTCTTTAGCAGGTTTGGAGTTATGTTCGCTATTATAATCTCTTAGTGTATCGCAGATATGCTTTACAGCGAAATGATGTGAATTATCACTCAATTCTTTGCCAAAACTGTTAAAGTAATCATCACTAAAAGAAAAATCGTCTTCATCACATACAGACTGTGTATCAGAATCTATGTCAGACACGTCAAAATTTGGCGACTTCGGATCAATACCAGCAGGCACATGCAAGTCAGACAAAATGTAATAAGAGGAAGTCACAATTTGTGGATACTTCTCTTTTGGCAGCAGCTTTATACAATTATCCAGCAATGCACATATACTACCCGCTTTTTGCGGGGACATACGTTCCACAGTATTTTTCATATTTCTAGCAACAGTGTACAACAGCATAGCCACAGGCACGGTAAATGGATTTCCCTGTTTTTCATCACAATTCTCTTCAGTTGCTTGATCTTTGCACAGTGTAGTCAGATCATACAATTTAACAACGTCATCATTACGTCCTTTAAAGAGCCAATATGTGTGACCCGCTTTCGTAACGTTCGCATTAAGGAACGCTAAAATGTTTTGTGCTACATTACGCACGACTTTCGGTGAGAATTTTGAGTTTTCTAAATACGGCAAATCTTCAGTTTTTATTATTTCGTAACGCTGTACAATCCCATCTAAATGATAGCACATAACCACCTCCGGCACATTACACATCAAATTATCTAACCAATAATCAATGCCGGTAAGTACATTTATAGGTTTAGTTTGGTCACGTAATCGCAAACTTATGGCAGGACGATTTGGTCCACCAAAAATGGGCATATCTGTGCCTATTAACATACGTATATCTTCAAAAGTCCAAACTACGTTACGATTGAATACGTGACTGGATTGTGGATCTGGCACATTTTCTTCAACGTTTGGTTCAGGTAGTAGTGGTCCTGTTATTGGCAATTCTTGTCGAATATTTTGTTTGTGTTCCAGTGGTGACTCAGTAGCAGAGTGCTTAAGACTGTGATATAAAAATTTTGAGAGTAAATTTTTGGTTTGTATAGCTTCACGTGATTTATCTTTAAGACAAAAATTGTGGTCATCGCTGTAATCAAGTATTTGTTCCAATATAAAAGTTCTTAGCCATTTCCAGTCATCATCCGCTTTGCGCAATAAATATTTATTTACATCAAACTCGTCAAGCAATAGGGTATTACCTACTTTGTGCACAATCATACTAATTGCACCCTTTGAGGTGTAGGGCAATTTTAGTAATCGTTTTATATTTTCGGCATCTGAAACCACATCAACTTCACCAACACAATCCGGAAACATGTGTGCCATACGAAAACTACTAATTATTTATTTTTATTTTATTAACCAACATTTTATTAAGCATAATGAAAAAAATTTTACCTGGCAAAACCTGGCGACTGGTACAATGCCTGGTGTAAACCATAACTGCTATCAGACGTGGTTAACCAATTGGATGGAGGCAGATTTAAATTAGTATTGCATTGAAGTCTATTAAAGTTTGCCGGCACTTGCACTGCAGAAAATTTAACAACAGCTTTCGATTTTATAGCGTCTGTTATTTCGTGTGGTTCAATGTTTAAACAAAATTCAATCTGCATTTAAAATCAAGTAAATCTGAGAACTTTATTTGAGACATTTTATACGAAATATATTACCTCATCATTGTTATCAGCCATGTTTTAATAAATATGTGCATTACCTCCGCTCAATTTATTTTTTATTTGTCTTTAACTAGGTGTTTTTCACTTAGTTTCTAATATTATAACGCTATTAACTCAGTTGAGAGACATACAGCTAAGCTAGAATTTTTCGAGATTGTTCCTGATCTCTTGTGATTGCAGCCGCTGTACATGTTTACATATTTTGACACGAAATCACATGTATAATATTTATCCATATCACTTTTTCTTAGTAACAGCTGTAAAATACAGGGTAAGCTGATCACAAATTTGAATATCAAATAATTAAAGTTGTGTTTATAGTTTGAAGAGTGAATTCAATGCACGCTGTATATATTTCGAGCATTTGTCTTTAGTTATTCGAAATTTCGAACTTTTGTCATCATAAATGTTGACTTAAGTAAACCCTGTTAGCATTTGACCTCGGATTTTTGAAAATTGTACCATATACTGTCATGTCTGAATTATTAATATGTCCCAGTTTAAATAATTAAATATTTACTTCACCAGAAGAAACATTGCAATTACGACTGTTAATAGTACATTCACACTGTCTCATTTAGGCACTTGCTCATTATTATTAATAAGTAAACGTTCACATTATAATAAGCTCATTATAATAAGCTCATGCAACTGATAAAACTTTTGTAAACTTCACTTAAATATTATTAAGTCACTCAAAAAACTTAAATATATAATTGATATATTAAATCATTTATATACATTTTATATATCAATTACATATTCAATTAATAAAAACAAGGATTTAATTAAGTACTTACTACCTCAGTGCATTTGTTTACAGCTCAGCTGTTGTGTGTTTACATTTTCCGCATAAAATATATGACACATATTTCAAATTTTAATAATTTCCCTTGTGGGAAATTTATTTTTAATTTTTGCATTCGAAATTTTCGGCTTAAGGTGCATTCACACCAAAGTGAACATTTACGAACGAATGAACATATGCAGGTAATGGTACCAGCAAAAGTTCGTTCGCTTTTAAGTGGATGCACCTTTAAATGATTTGATTTATTGATAATGAATTTATTCATATGAAAGCCCTTTGTATGATGAATCATTCTCACTAAATGTTGTAATGAGTAAAACCGCCTAAAACAGTGTGAATGTGCTATTACTCTGCACTTACAAAAGCATGATATAGACGATGCTACATGTATGTATACCAAGTATGCGCTTGGCTATACAATTTGAAACAAGATGCAATTTTACCGCATACATGTCTGTAGACCGAAATTTGGTATGCATACTTGAATATACACTGTGCGATTTGTTAGCACGGCATACTTGGTTAGCATACATGTAGCATCGTTTATATCTTGCTTAAGTAAGTAATGGAAACATACTATAAAAGGAAGCTATAAAGCACAGTATTTTGTTAGAATAAATTTATTACTATGGATAGCACAGCGTCTCAGCTGGTACAATCAAAAAATTGTTTTCTTTTTTTCCATACACTGTTTCATTAATCCACACGTTCCTGTTATTTGGTGAAACTAATTGAACTTTGCTTTTATTCGTCAGTTTCACAAATCAATCAAACAGAGTAGTGCTTGCGTTGAAGGGCGCTGTAGTCTAAAGAGGTTATAAGCTAAGAGTAGTCCAGTTTTTATACAATTTCCAAACAGAAAATGGAGGTAAAAAATCGAAATTGTTTTTCAAAGAATTCTTTAAATAATATTAAATATATATAGATTGAAGTTGTTAGTGCAAAAAATTCCAAAGTATTTGGTAAATGTCATGTACCGGCCACCATATCAATAGGTGACTTGCCTGCTCAAATACATAAGCAACTGAAGTCAACCCCAGCACCAAATCGTCAATCACTACGTTTGGATCCACGCGGCAAAGCGTTAAAAGACAGCGATACCCTTCAATCGCTGAATTTACGCAATGGCGTACGCATTTATGTCAAAGATTTAGGTCCACAAATTGCTTGGACGACAGTATTTCTGTCAGAATATGCAGGGCCACTACTGGTTTATTTACTTTTCTACGCTCGTCCCTCGATTATCTATGGAGCAGATGCTGATAAGCCAATATCGTTGACAGCGCAGTAAGTTATTAAAGCTCACCTCATTTTTAATTGAACTTTCCCTTTTTTTGCACCTCAGAACCAACACATTGAAATCTCATAAGTTTTTGTGTGTAATATAAAGACCTAATTTGACCTCTTCGATTGTCGTTTCGCGTTATGCTAAAAGTTTCACCAGCGTTTAAAATATAATACGCTTTGCATTAATTATACATTTTATATTATTTCTTCTTTTTTTTTTTTGTGCTTATAAATATATGTATTAGTATATTTCTTTTTGTGTTGTTGAATAATTTTATAAATTTTCGGTTTTCTATTGTAGCATTGCGGCCGCTTGCTATACGGTGCATTATGTAAAGCGATTGCTGGAAACAATTTTCGTTCACCGCTTCTCACACGCTACTATGCCAATACGTAATCTCTTCAAGAATTGCAGTTACTATTGGGGCTTTACAGCATATGTGTCCTACCACGTCAATCATCCACTATTCACATCACCATGCCAAGTGCAAGTATTGGTTGGTTTAGCGGCCTTTGCGGTAATTTTATTTATTATTTTAAGAAAAAAAAAGAATTTAAATTAATTGTATATATTATTATTTTATAGCTCTGTGAAATAGGCAATTTCTCTATCCACATTGCCCTGCGTAATTTGCGACCACCTGGCACAAAAGTGCGCAAAATTCCAATGCCTGACAGCAACCCATTCACACAACTTTTCAAGTCAGTTTGCAATTATATAAATTTTTTCATCATTTCATTAATAAAATTTATTTTTATTTTTAGTCTTGTTTCCTGTCCCAATTACACATATGAAATCGGTGCCTGGGTGAGCTTCTCTATAATGACCAACTGTTTAGCCGCTGTACTTTTTGCTATTGCTGGCGGTTATCAAATGATGGTTTGGGCTTTAGGTAAACACCGCAACTATAAGAAGGAGTTTACACAGTACCCTAAATCGAGGAAGGCTATATTCCCATTTATTCTTTAAATTAATTTACATCATTTCTTAGCCAAGCCAAAACATTTCCATATTTTCTTTTGCATAATGAACAATTTTAAATTAAATAATTTTAAGGTTTTAGGATTTTCTTATTAGTGGTGTAACTGTGACTTGACACTTTTTAATATTGTTGTTTAAATAAATAGCAAAAAATCAATAAAATGTTTTGTACATTTTTTTTGGTTTGTTTGTTGAAAAAAAAGTGATTTTTTATTGTTAATATTTTGTGTAAAAACCGGTTAAAACTAATTAAATGAGCTATAACTCTACGAATATAAACAAAACACAATATAATTGAATAGAATATAATAGAATTCTTATTTTATTTACTTAATTTTCTTTATAATTATTTACACATGTTTTACACTCTTTTTACACTGAAAAAAATTAATAATGCAAATGAATTGCATATTAGTTAATAATGCATTTGTACTTGGTAGAATTTTTGTTGGACTGTCATTCCATTGGTGTTGTCAACTTTCAGGAATATCAATCCTTTTTCATAAAACCTTCAAACATTTTTCAACTCAGGCAACCCTCCTCCTCTCACTTACCCTCTATCAAATCTATATCTTAAGGATCGGTATAACTCTATTATTTCGTTGCTGAAACCACTTAAAAGCATTCATAATGATCAATTAAAATTGGTTAACTGTTACATCGGATACTATATTGAAATAAAACAAAATATAAAATGAGTGATTCTGGGACATAAACTCAGTCGTTCATTAAGCTTCTACACAAAATTATAAGTTTCAGTGAATATAGACAAACAATGCGTGAAAGTACTCAATAGAACTCATATCAGAAATTAAATGTTGGCAAATAGTGAAGTCGTTTCTGAAACCATTTGATAGAGTTCATAAGGATTAACGTATATTGTTTATTAGTTTTTAAAGCTTGCTCTGAAACCAATTGATAGAATTTTGATTAACTTCAGTAGTAATCAGCAAATAGTTTCTGGAATCAGTTAATGAATTTGATAAATTCTTGAAGATATCAGTAAAAAATATTGAAACCATTCTTAAAACCATTTTGAAAAATTGAGGATGTTTAAAAATAGTTTCTGAAGCCACTTAGGAAATGCAACTGCGAATTTTTATACTGCTTCCCATATTGTAAGCAACATTTTAACATTAATAAAATTAAGGGATCATGATATCTTAGAAAATATATTAAATTATATAAAATTATGATCATTATCATTATGATTATTATCTTCTTAGATATAATTTATCAAGCTCATAATTTCGGGAAGCGTTACTGTATACCCAAATTTTAAATATCAATTAGAAAAATATTATAAACTTGGTTTTTCTTTGATATTTAATTTTTTAAGTGTTAATGAATCATTAAAATAATCATAATAAAAGATTATAAAGTGTTATCTTAAAAAATAAAACTGAACATATCGATAGAATTGGATAAAAAGAATGATAAAATTCATTCTTATTATGTATACAAAGATATATTTTTAGTTGTCTAATATTTCACATATTCTGTTTAAACTTAACCGTCAGCAGGACTCAATTACAGATAATTGTACAAGTGTTTACACTTGTACTAAATAGCAAAACAAATATTACAGAGCTCTTTCGCTCTCTCTCTCTCTCGTCATTAAGGTCAGGGTATAGCCATGTGCTGAACAGTTACTTGCGTCAATTTCCAACGTGTGTCTCAACTGCAACTCTACTTTCCTAATGCACGCACCAATTTATGCCCGATTGATCTTTGGCTCGAAACAACTGAACTGGCAAGATTTCCCCACCTCTATCTGAGCTAGTTTCAATTAATTCCCATCCATCTTTTAACCCAAATCGTTACCGTTACCCCTATCTAATCCATATGGTAACCCATGCATTTGTTGTATTTCCTTTTATGTTTTTTGCAGTATAGTTCATCTTGAGTTGCAACAACAAAAAAACTTCCAAGTTCAAAATAAAATTTTGTTATTTTTATCTGGTTTGTCGCATGTGTCTAAAGTTAGAGAACACAAGTACTAAAGTATTTAACTATTAAAATCAAATAATACTTCAATTCAATTCCGTATGATGCAAGAATTTAATGTAAGATAAGGAGCAAAAGGGTCTTACAGTCAATCTAGGCGTTCATACTGGCTAAACTTTCCTTGACTAATGCCGATCTGTCCACATAGAATCGCTATATTATGTTTTATATGTTTCATGGTAAAAAGAATATTTACTTGACTTTTCTTCAGCCACTCTGATTTCTCAATATTAAAAATGTAAAATAAAAGATCCCAACAGTATAAGTTTCAAGAATGTTTATTGTTTGTCTTCC